CCCCGCTGCCACGGGAGGGTAGGACAAAAGATGTCATGCAAGTTATTTTCCATAAGCACGTATGACTATATATGAAATACATGCCTACATTACATTGATGAATTGGAGCTAGTTCTGTGTCACCCTATGTTATGACTGTTATATGACGAACCGCATCCGGCATAATTATCCATCACTAATCCGGTGCCTACGAGTTTTCCATATACTGGTTCTCGCTTATTTACTTTTCCGTTGCTATTGTTACAATCACTACAAAATACCAAAAACATTACTTTTGGTGTCTTTACTTTTGTTACCGTTACCACCACTATCATATTACTTTGCTACTAAACACTTTGCTGCAGATACTAAGTTTCCAGGTGTGGTTGAATAGACAACTCAGCTGCTAATACTTGAGAATATTCTTTGGCTCCCCTTGTGTCGAATCAATAAATTTGGGTTGGATACTCTACCCTCGAAAACTGTTGCGATCCCCTATACTTGTGGGTTATCACTCACGCATATAGGAAACCTGGTGACTCGCACTTTGGGGTTGACCTAATGGCAACAAAGAAACATCTCTTTTGCTTTGGGTCTTTCACGATAAAGGATAGGTCGGAGATTCTTTTTGGGGAAGACATCTGGCTAAGCAAATGCTAGTCTCTAAGAACAATATCCAGCCTTGTAAAACATTGCTCACGATAAGAATAAAACTATTGCGCAAGTGCTCAGTTAATCCCCGCCCAATATTTCGTTTAGGCGGGATTTGATAGTCCCCCGACTTATGTCATGGCATAATATTTTATCCCGTCTGGATTTGCTCAATTTGGCACAAGGTTGGGATGTGTTTTGCTGGAACCTTACTACACCGGGGTCTTTCATAGTAGGCTATATGTAACATGTGCTCAGGCATTCTGAGGTACTAGTGAGTAACAAGAAGAAAATCTGAAAGTCAAAGATTCCAATTAAAGTTAAAATCTTCATGTGGTATCTTCGTAGGGGGATCTGTTCTAACCAAAGACAATCTCGTACGACGCAACTGGCCAGGGAGTAAGAAGTGTTGTTTTTGTACTCATGAAGAGACAATCAAACACCTGCTTTTCCAATGCAAGTTTGCACGTTCTACGTGGCCAGACATCCAAATAGCATCAAATTTGTATCCTCCCACAAGTGTCGTCAATATTTTTGGTCATTGGTTGGACGGTATTCCAAATAGGTTCAAAATGCTAATAAGGGTGGGAACGTATGCCTTACTATGGTCGCTTTGGCTATGTTGAAATGATTTGCTTTTTAATTCCAAAAATGCTTCTCCTTTGCAGGTTATTTTCCGTTGTACGCACTCGCTTCATACATGGTTTGCGCTACAACGAGCGGAGTACCAACTGTTGTTCAGGGCGGTGTGTACGCGGTTGGAACAAGTGGCTACGAAGGTTTTTACCCAACATGGGTGGCATCATAATCTTCAGATCGGTCCATCACCCCTTTTGACATAGGCATAATATCGATCTGTGTGACTCTACTGTCATCGATTTGTCAGTTTTTTCCTTTCCTTTTGTCAGACTTTAGGTATTTGGTTGTGTGCATCCTAATTATGCAGAGGCCGGATGTTACTCATAATGCTTTGTACCTGCTTGATGCTACATTTTGAGATAATAAAAGTGCCCTTCATCAAAAAAAGTCCTCCTGCATGGCTGGGAAAAAAGATTCGTCATGGAATCACACACTTGGAAGGCGTGGCAAAAAAAATGATACTCTCAAAATGCTACTTTTGAAAGTATTTTGGAGCATTGATTTTGTTTTTTTGTCATGACCTCCACAAATGTGATTTCATGATGAAATTTTGCAAAACACTTGTCAATTTTTGGCACAAAAAATCATTTTTTATTTATTTTTTATTGTTCTTCTGCAAGGTCTTCAAAAAAATGCCCGACGAGATTTGAACCAAGCACCTGTATGCTTTTCAAAAAATGAATGCCCGACAAGATTTGAACCCATCACTTGTACGTTGAGTACAAACGTGGTAGCCAACTAAACTACTTTCTTGTTGTGTCTAGTTATCTTTATTTTTCTTCTTCAAATATAACACTAACCAACGTGAGCTTGTTTGGTTTCTTTTTTCGGTTCTTATTTGGCCTGTTTTCTTCTGTTTTTTCTCTTTCTTTTTCATTTTCTTTCTTTTTCATTTTCTTTCTTTTTAAATTTGCAAACTATTTTTAAATCATGAACTTTTTCGTAAATCCGCGAGCTTTTCAAATTTGTGAATATTTTCTTAAATTCATGAACTTTTTCTCAAATCCACAAACTCTTTTCAACTTCTATGAACTTTTTTCAAAGCTACATGTTGCGACATGTCGCAGATGCCGCTCTTCGAGCTCAAGGAAAACCCTATGTCTGGTTCTCCGGACCGGATGGCAGCGGTGGTGTGACGTCGTTTTCCTTCTTGAAGGCACTATCTTGTTCGCTCATGGTGTCCCTGGTGTTGGTTTTTGGTGATGTTGTATGTCTTGCTAGTTCGGTCTGCCTCTCTGGTTTGGGGCTTGGTGGTCTAGCTGTGTAGTTTTTTTTGTTCGGGCCAAGCATCCATTGTCCTATGCTCCAGGGTTTATGTTCATGCCTTCTTGCGTTATTGTATCCTTATCTGTACTCATTCTAAATCCTCATGTGAATGAAAAAGATACGCAAGATTTGTGTATTCTTAAAAATAGTAGCAAATTTTGTATGGGGTGTGGTAAAGAGTGTTATGGGAATTAACAGTGTCCCCACAGGATTAAATATTTTAGTGGTTGGATTGAGGGTTCTTCAAGAATCATACACAGGTAGTTGTCGTGGGTGTTGCGGCAATAATGTGGACTTTATGGAAAGTCAGAAATTATACTAGTTTTATCATGTATCCCCCTAATTGTTTTTTCAAATCTCCTGTCGGGTCTCTTAATGGGATGGACTGCAAAGAGGCGAAGGACGGCAAACACTTCATGTCGTGGCAACGCTGCTAGTTGACGTAGAAATGGTTTTTCTTTTGACAAAAAAAGAGAATGGGTGCCAATGACGAAAATAAGGGTAGTTTTGTCATTTCTACCCCCCCCCCCTAGTGTTGTAGATACCGCTTTTGTAGTTACTTTTTTGATTGTTGCTCATTATTATCTGTGGTGATCAATTTGTCTATCCTGGTGGGAGCCCTATATGGTGAATTGGTGACTGGTTTGGGATTTTTTACATGATGTTGTGGTTGGGTGCACGGGTTTGGATCATCTACATATGTTTATATAGTTTTATCGGTTTTCCTATCATCAATGAAATGAAATGGGGTCCACCCCTCTAATCCCTACTTTACTTATCTCCTTCCGTTCGGAATTACTTGTCACAAAAATAGATGTATCTATAACTAAAATACATCTATATACATTTATTTATTGGACGAGTAATTCTGAACGGAAGAAGTATTAGTTAAAAAAATGTAATGTTTCATGTCACTTTTCTTTCCACCACCCATCGTCCAACTTTCCCGGTATCATAATTAATCACCTTAATTTACTTATCTTTGAACCAATTTCACTTTAATTTACTCATCAAACTTTTCATCAAAATATAAGATAAATCACAGGTAAAATTTGATAAAAATTCATTTACACAATCGGATAATATGGGTAGATAAATCACAAGGTACCATACTAGAGTATTTATATTCCGTTGCAGCGCATGTGCACTATCCTATTAAAAAGTTGTTTTTAACATAATATAGACGCAAGCGCTCATATACACACGCATACACTCACCCCTATGAATGCACACACGCACATCATATCCTATGAGCACCTTCGAAAGACTGAGCCGACATATCATCTTGAAATTTATGAAGTCACCGTAGGCACTTCGTCGTCGACGGAAACGTCTCCTCCCACTGAATGCGCATCGCCGAAATTTCTAAAATAAATCCAAAAATATATGCGAGCACCAGAACTTGAAAACTGATGGGCTGGGATATCACAATCCCTCTAACCATGCAGCCACAGGGTGATTCGCAAAAATGTATATTGAAATACATGCAAACTAGCCTACAATATGTCTAAATTTTTTTACACCGCACAGGTCTGATTGGACCTCATCAGCCAACCAAACAAAACCCCCTGTTTTTAGGATTTTTTCCATGCGGGTTGGATTTAGGAAGGTGTTTGTTCCAGGGACTTATTAGTTTAGGGACTTAAAAAAGTCCCTATAAGTCCCATCTAAACCAAACAAGAGGTATTTATAGGGACTTAAAGTGAACATTTAGGACTTATAAAATAAGACTCTTAAGGAGGAACTTATATGGACTTATAGTTGTAATATGGTCTTATAGGGACTTATAAGTCCCAGGAACCAAACAGGTAGGGCCTTTTTAGGGACTTGAAACTTATAAGTTGGGACTAAAAAAGTCCTAGGACTTATGAACCAAACAGGGCCTAGATCATTTTGTATTGTTATATCGTTCCATTGAAATGGAATCGCTCTTAACTTGAGAAAAAAATGTTGATATATATATATTATTTTTTAAAAATAAGTAGTATTCTCTTCCTACCAAACAGTACTATTCGTCAACGGTTCCCTTCCTCCCATTACATCCCTTCATCGATTTTTTCTCCATCCAGTCGTTTCTTTTCTGCACGTCATATTTAACCCTACCTTCCCCATATGTCAATCACCTTAATTTACTTACTTTTTAAAAAAATCACTTTAATTTACTTACCAACCTTCTTATCAAACTATAAGGTAAATCACAGATATAATTTAGTAAAAAAAAATACAATACAAACGCAGACGCTTATATATGATGTAGCCACTCATTCCTATGAACACCATATTCGTATTTATATTCCATAGCAACGCACCAGCATTGTTAAAAAAAACATTTGCATCTCGACGTTTAATTCGGTGCCGGGCAACGCATGGCTTAGCCATTTAGAAAGAACGAAAGTCGGAAAACCCTCCATTCCCGCGCCTTCTTCCCCAAACCCTAACCCTAACCCTTCCAACCCGGCCGCGCGATGCCCTCGTCCTCTGGTCGCCGCCGCCGCGGCCGTCGAGGCACCCGCCGCCGACAGCGCTGTTCGACAAGGACCTGGGCAGAGCTGCCGATGGTCGCGATCTCGGCCATTCTCCACAAGCTCGACCACATCGAGATCCTGATGGGGGCCGGCCAGGTGTGCCGCTCCTGGCGCCGCGCCGCGCGCGACGAACCCGAGCTGTGGCGCCGCATCGACATGCGCTTCCACGCCGACCTCTTCTACCAGCTCAACCTCCACGGGATGGCGCAGGCCGCCGTACGCCGCAGCAAGGGGCAGTGCGAGGCCTTCTGGGGCGAGTACGCCGGCGACGACGACTTCCTCCTCTACCTCGGCGACCAGTGAGATTTTGATCCCCCACGATCCTCAATTTTAGGCTTACTTCTCGTTTACATGTGCTGAATTCTGCGTAAGAATTTCGTAGAAATGAAATTGGTGCTTCTAAATTGTGTTTTTGGGAGAGGGCTAGCAAACAACATAGTCTTAGGCCTCCTTAGGTTTACAGGAATTTTGGAAGAATATTAAAGGACACGAATTTTGTAGGAAAATGTTCCTTTGGAGACCTTTGGTTTGTAGGAATGGATTCCTATTCGTATGTAGGGTAGGAACCAGACCTTCACATTTCAAAGGAAAAAATAATTTAGCCTTGACTTGATGGAAAAATTCCTATCCTGTGCATCAAATGATATCTCTTTCCCTATAGGAATTGAGATGCATGTCATCTGGTTTTCCTATTCCTATGATATCCCTATCCTGTGAACCAAAGAAGGCCTTAGATTTGTAGCACATCTGAGTAAGGGTAACTTCAGTAGTATTTACATGGTGAACATACAGGTGCACACACACACAGGACGCTCTCATCGGATCCTCCTAAAAATGGCGCATAATTGTAGTTCTGATTTGATGCCTTGGCATCTTATCACTTAATTGTACTGTACATTTGTTGTGACTTACACAAAATTTTGGATGAGTGGCGATTCCTCCTAATTTAAGAATTTCATCTGACCTACCGATACAAACAAAGTGCATAAGGGTGATTATTGCAGCTATTACATTGGGTAATTTGTTCTGTTCTTTTGTCTGCAACTGTTTACAATTTGTCATTCTTTCCTGACAAGGGAAAATATGGTAGCTAATGGCAACTATGGAGCACTAAGAACTTCCATGCAATTATATTATGGAATGTCACTTAGCGAATAGTCGGTTGTGATCTCATGGGTATGTCACTGAATATATTAAGTCACTGGATGTCCTTCATATTGCCTAAGGTCTTACTCTGCTTAATTTCCCTTGAACCATGATTTAGGCACATGCTTGGGTGATTGCTGATCGTACTTATCTATAAGTAGTAATAAGCTGCGCCTTGCAAATATGCACATGAATATATTCCTTTTGCTGCCACCCTTCGTCCAGAAAGAATGGACCGTGCTTTCCCAACAAAAACTTGTCAGTCAGCAGCCAAGTCCCTGACATATTAGTTGCCCAAGACATAGGTGATTGTGTCGGTGTTCTTGTTTCAAACAAACACCATTCGAAATAACCTTTTAGGATTATGGAGCATTAACAGGCAAAATAATGCTACTGAAGATAGTTTGAATTGTTTCAGTTGAACTCATATGCAATGACTGTAGGATGTATTATGATGTTGCAACATGCAATTATAGGTCACCCAGCTGGTTATCGTCCCTGAAATGTTTCTCATGTCAAATCTAGCAATTATTAGTTATTAAGTGAAATCTCGCAATACCGCTCTAAATTCTGGACAGTTGATGCTATGCAGTCACCGCCTAAACTGCCCCAATGATTTACCTACATCAGTCCATAGAAACAATAATGGGTTCTGGTTGTTCTATGTTGTGTGCTAATGCTGTTTTCTTCTTCTTCTTTTGCCTGGCCTATTATTGGTTACTGAAACCCAAGTTCTATATTTGCAGGGCACCATCTCTCAAAAGTCTTCGACTCATTTCTTGCTATGATGTTTCTAACGAAGGTTTCACAGTTGCGATAGAGAAGTTCCCTTTGCTTGAGGAGCTTGAGCTTTCATTGTGTTCAAATGTGGGTGAGGGTGGTGTGTTTGGGGTTGTTGGCAAAGCATGCCCGCAGCTGAAGCGCTTCAGACAGAGCAAGCATTCATTCTTTGATTTTGAAGCCAGTGGCTACAATAAGGACGATGAAGCCCTGGGGGTTGCAACTATGCATGAGCTACGCTCTCTGCAGCTCTTTGGCAACAACCTCACCAACGAAGGACTGACAGCCATCCTGGACAACTGCCAGCACCTGGAGTCCCTTGACATTCGTCATTGCTTCAACGTCAACATGGACGACACCCTGCGAGCAAAGTGTGCCAGGATAAATACGGCGAGGCTTCCACATGACTCAACTGCTGGCTACGAGTTTCAGGTTCAGGAACCTACGTGGTCACGTTACCGCAGTGACTCCCAAGGTGAAGATGACACTGATGCTGATGATATGGAGTATGGTTTTGACTATGATCTGGACTCTGAGGACTACGATGACTACTGTGATCCTTCCCGCTACCTTAATGGCGTCTACGAGGATGACCTTGATGAAGAAGACAGGATGGTTCTCAGGGCTATGCGTGCGCTCATGAAATGAGCTTCATCTGGATGTTGTGATAAAAGTGCTTGGATATTAATGCCTTTTTGCTGAGCACTAGTGTTCCCTAGTCATTCGCTGCTCCTGTTCATGTGCCCCCTTTTGCTAGAAGATCAGTACAAGTAATGTTTCATGTTGGTCACACAATCTTGCAAACATGCGTGGTTCACAAGTACGGCGTTAGTAGTACCTTGCAGTTTCGCTGGAGTCTGTTATTAGCTGTACGGCTAAACACTATGTTATGTGGTAGTCATCAGCCTATTGATTTGGTTAATACTCCCCCGTTCCTAAATATTTGTCTTTATAGAGATTTTAACAATCTATACTCTAAAATATGTCTATCTGTATGTGGTAGTCTATTTGAAATTTTTAAAAAGACAAATATTTAGGAACAGAGGGAGTACTTGTGTATGTGATGCGTACCGATCGTTTCTGTGTTCTGTGTTCTTAGTTCTTCAACTCCAGCTATGTGATGCGTACCTTGTGTATGTGATGCGTACCGATCGTTTCTGTGTTCTGTGTTCTTAGTTCTTCAACTCCAGCCCTAGTTGAAGTTGTTGAGCATGATTTGGCGAGAGGTAGGGAAAACACTATCCTAGCATTGTTTCAGATATGCACGAAAAGAAACAGATTTTGCAGTACAGTTCTTAGAGCATCTCTAGTAGACCCCGCAAAATGCGAACCCGCATATGTGTTTTGCAGTTCGCGAAAAAGGGCGTATGCAGGCCGGCGTGGCCGAGGATAGACTCAGACCCTGCAAAACGGATCCGTAAAAAGGCATATTCACCGAATATGCGTTTTTACGGGTCGGCTACACAGGGTCTGTTCGGGCAGCGCCGCGCCGACCCGCAAACCCCAATAAGCTAAAATGAGTTCAATTCCGGACAAATGAGTTCAAATTCAAACGCTCATAGTTCGCGTGCGAAATAAAGCATAGTTTTGATAGGAAAAACGCAAAAGGACTTGCAAAAGAGATGACCACGTCCGACATCATCTTGGTCGATCTTCACTTCGCGCCATCGAGTCCATGGAGATCATCAGAGCCACCGAATCCACCTCCGGCGCTTGTGCCAACACCGGCAGCGAAATCATCGGCTGGTGCACTGAACGCATCGGCGACATTGGCTCCAAACCCCCCACCGAATCCACCTCCCTCACTGTAACACGCACTGGCCGAACGCAACCATTCTCCTCTTCAAGATTTCTCTTCTTGCCATATCATGCCATTCTTTGATGAGGTCGTCCATGTCATTGCGGTTCATTGACATGATCTTGTTCTCTTCGGCGAGCAACATGGACGTGGCTTTGTTCTCAGCGGCACGTACTCTTCTCTCCTGAATGGCCACTTTGCGCAGCCCCTCTTCCTTGAGCAACTCCCATTTCTCATGCTTCTCCCGTGCCCGATCTCCAACGACTTCAAAAGCATCATCTCATTTGATTGCACCATGGCATCAATCTTCTCCCTTAAACTCGCCGCTTCGTGCTCTCTCTTGATCTTCTCCCTAGTCTTCTTGTCTCCATCGGGCTTGTTCAAGTTCCTTGGGCCATCATCATCCTCATCTTCATCCATGTTTGTAAGTGAACCTCTCTTCGGTGGGGACTCTTTCTCTATCAACGTCCACTTATCGCAATTCTTGAGCAACTTCCAACAATGATCTAGTTTGAAGAATTTTCCTTCCGAAGCCTCCATGTCTTTGTACCTATGTTGGGTAATTTTGTCCTACACAATTTGAACAAAGCAATATTTCATATGATGCAAGCATTTTGAATGATGCAATGTGAGTTACACAACTTGAACAAAGGTAAAATGAACTCACATAGTCGGACTCCACAGTTCCACTTGGAGGTGCATTGCGTACTTGCTCCAAGCAAGCTGCCCAACGGCTGTAAATGGGCTTGATCATGTCCCAACGCCCTTGGAGAGACCGAAAGGTGCGTGGAGTCCTATAGGGGTACTTTGCCATCATGTAGAAGTATTGATCTTCGATCCTTTGCCAACATCTCTTGGCGGTTTGAGAAGTACCCGTGCATGCATCAAGAGATACCGCACTCCATGCCTTGATCAAGATTTGGTCTTCCAAGATCGTGTAGTTCTTCGATCTTTGGCCTTTTCCACTCTTTGTTTGCGATTCCTCATACGCCAATTGATCGATCTCCTCCAATTCTTCTGCGCCTCCATGATCATCCACGCCGCCTTCCGTTTCATTGTACTCAAATGCAGCGAATGGGGCCTCATCGATGTCAACGGCGTTGGTGTCCAACAAGTTCACGAATTCGGCAGTTGCATTGTTCGAACCACCGCTATAGCGAACGGCAACAAGTCACAAACTATAATCGCGAAAGGAGAGATTATTTCCATGACCGAAGAGTAAATGCATGACCGAGCCATACCTTGCGCCCATTTCGTCGAACACATTGGTGTTGGGGAACGCGGTAATTTCAAAAAAAATCCTACGATCACGCAAGGTCTATCTAGGTGATGCATAGCAACAAGATGGGAGAGTGTGTCCACGTACCCTCGTAGACTGAAAGCGGAAGTGTTTAAATAACGTGGTTGATGTAGTCGAACTTCTTCGCGATCCAACCGATCAAGTACCAAACGTACGGGACCTCCGCGTTCAGCACACGTTCAGCTCGATGATGTTCCTCATACTCTTGATCCAGTTGAGGACGAGGGTGAGTTTCATCAGCACGACAGTGTGGCGATGGTGATGATGATGCTACTGGCGCAGGCCTTCGCCTAAGCACTACGATGGTATGATCGAGGTGTGTAACGGTGGAGGGGGGCACCACACACGTTTAAGAGAAACTTGTGTGTTCTAGGGTGCCCCCCTGCCCCCGTATATAAAGGAGCAAGGGGGAGGCCGTCTGGCCCTCTAGGGCGCGCCAAGGGGGTAGGAATCCTCCTCCTAGTAGGAGTAGGACTCCCCCTTTCCTAGTCCTACTAGGAGAAGAAGGAACGAGGGGGATGAGAAGGAAGGAGGGGGCGCCGCCCCTCCCCTTAGTCCAATTCGGACTAGGCCCATGGGGGGCGCGTGGCCAGCCCCTGGCTGCCCCTCTCCCTCTCCTTTAGGCCCAATAAGGCCCATTACTTCTCCGGTGGTTCCGATAACTCTTCCGGCACTCCGGTTATATCCGAAACTTCTCTGAAACACTTCCGGTGTCCGAATATAGTCGTCCAATATATCAATCTTTATGGCTCGACCATTTAGAGACTCCTCGTCATGTCCATGATCACATCCGAGACTTTTAACAATCTTCGGTACATCATATCACATAAACTCATAATACCAATCGTCATCGAACATTAAGCGTGCGGACCCTACGGGTTCGAGAACTATGTAGACATGACCGAGACACGTCTCCGTTCAATAACCACTAGCGGAACCTGGATGCTCATATTGGTTCCTACATATTCTACAAAGATCTTTATCGGTCAAACCGCATAACAACATATGTTGTTCCCTTTGTCATCGGTATGTTACTTGCCCGAGATTCGATCGTCGGTATCATTATACCTAGTTCAATCTCGTTACCGGAAAGTCTCTTTACTTGTTTCGTAATACTTCATCCTGCAACTAACTCATTAGTTACAATGCTTGCAAGGCTTATAGTGATGAGTATTACCGAGAGGGCCGAGAGATACCTCTCCGAAGCACAGAGTGACAGATCCTAATCTCGACATATGCCAACCCAACAAACACCTTTGGAGACACCTGTAGAGCACCTTTATAATCACCCTTTTACGTTGTGACGTTTGGTAGCACACAAAGTGTTCCTCCGGTATTCGGGAGTTGCATAATCTCATAGTATGAGGAACTTGTATAAGTCATGAAGAAAGCAGTAGCAATGAAACTGACATGATCATAATGCTAAGCTAACGGATGGGTCATGTCCATCACATCATTCTCCTAATGATGTGATCCCGTTCATCAAATGAAAACACATGTCTATGGTTAGAAAACATAACCATCTTTGATTAACAAGCTAGTCAAGTAGAGGCATACTAGGGACTATAAGTTTTGTCTATGTATAAACACATGTACTAAGTTTCCTGTTAATACAACCTAGCATGAATAATAAAAACTTATCATGAATTAAGGAAATAAATAATAACTTTATTATTGCCTCTAGGGCATATTTCCTTCAGTCCCCCACTTGCACTAGAGTCAATAATCTAGTTCACTTCACCATGTGATTTAACACCAATATTCACATCTGTATGTGATTAACACCCATAGTTCACATCGTCATGTGACCAACACCCAAAGGGTTTACTAGAGTCAATAATCTAGTTTACATTGCTATGTGATTAACACCCAAAGAGTACTAAGGTGTGATCATGTTTTGCTCGTGAGAGAAGTTTAGTCAACGGGTCTGTCACATTCAGAGTCTTATGTATTTTGCAAATATTCTATGTCTACAATGATCTGCACGGAGCTACTCTAGCTAATTGCTCCCACTTTTAATATGTATCCAGATTGAGACTTAGAGTCATCTGGATCGGTGTAAAAGCTTGCACCGATGTAACTCTTTACGACGAGCTCTTTTATCACCTCCATAATCGAGAAATATTTCCTTAGTCCTCACTAAGGATAATCTTGACAGATGTCCAGTGATCTACTCCTAGATCAAAACTGTACTCCATTGTCGAACTCAGAGCTGGGTACACAATAGGTCTGGTACATAGCACAACATACTTTATAGAACCTATGATTGTGGCATAGGGAATGACTTTCATTCTCTTTCTATTTTGTTCCATGGTCGGGCTTTGAGTCTTACTCAACTTTACACCTTGTAATATAGGCAAGAACCCTTTCTTTGACAGATCCATGTTGAACTTCTTCAAAACTTTACCAAGGTATGTGCTTTGTGAAAGTCCAATTAAGCATCTTGATCTATGTCTATAGATCTTGATGCCCAATATGTAAGCAGCTTCACCGAGGTCTTTCATCGAAAAACTCTTATTTAAGTATCCCTTTATGTTATCCAGAAATTCT